GTGGCACACCCCGGCCAAGGTGTGGCACAGCTTAGTCAAGTGTCGTCCTCCCTAGCCGATGTCATTACTTGCCGATGTGCTTTGCCCTAGCTTGCCGCATACGCTTTGTCAGAGACTTATCTTATCTATCAATCACCTTTTTGAGTTGGGCCAACCCGGTGGCGCCACGTGTTCGAGCTGATTGTTAAGACAGCCGGAAGGCCTAGAAACAAATCATTTTGTCTCAAATCTTTGCCTTTAGAGGTGTTTTTACTTTTGATGTATTACATGTATATTCAAGCCAAGGGCTTAATGTGTAAATGAGTTAGCACTCTTTTGTTGTAACCAAGTGTTAACTTGGAAAGCTGTAAGCCCGTAGGGCATTTGCTTTTGTTGATTAACATGTAATAATTTTGTAAAGAACTACTCTGATGAATAGAAGAATGTTTATCTTTATTACCAATGCATGTCTATATTGATGGGTTTAATGTGTTATTTTAAGGGCGTTACAAAACAAAACCTATGAAGTTGTGCTTGTGATATTACTTCATTTTTTCAATTTGTTTGATAATTGCTTGTCTTATTGTGGTGAAGTAACTCAGAGGTGAGTTTTGTACCTATTTTTGTAGTTAGCAGAGTTGGTACGTCCTCTTCCTCTTTTTCTTCTTTGAATATAAGTACAAACTATGGATTTTGGGTTTTTGGATTTGATTAGAGAAGAAATATTAGCGTTGTTTTCTTGAGACTTGAACTAAGCATTACCATCAGCGACATGCCGTAATTATGCTCAATAAAAGGAATGGGGGTGGTGTTTCCTTTTAGTTTATGAAATAATTCATAGGTGAGTTGTGCACTTGTTTTTGTAGTTAGCAGACTTGGGTTCCTCATCATAAATGTTATATGTTGCAGAATAAGGCTCAAGAGCTTCACAAGCCTTCTACAGAAGAAGGGTCAATGTCTATCAAAGATGATGCAATTGTTCAAGCATTTGGTCTAGAACGGCGTGGTAGTGCAAGAGGGCTTGGATTTGGAGCATTGCCATCGAAAGTTGATGCAGCATACCAAAATCAAAATATGAGACAACTAAATGAAAAATTGCTGCTATTAGAACAAGAACTCCGGGAGATAAAAGCTGAAATGTTAAAAGGAAAAAGGCAAAATGAGGTAAAAAAAAAAAATGAACAATGTCACAATATATGAGGTTAAATTTATCTTCCTATAAAATTTAATTGTTTTTAAACTTTGGTACTTCCCATCTTAGATATAAGAATATTTCACAAAGTTTGTAAAAATAAAAAATTGATTAATACTTGCAGGAGCCAAGCAAAGGGGCAAATGGACACTCACATGGAGAAACTCAGGTAAACTTGCACATTTGTCATGCTTGTGCTTTTGCTTGCTTGTTTTTCTACTCAAGCTTGTCGTTTTGCATATGGATTACATTAAGATTCTAAATTTAAGTAAACAAATGCTTCTTGCCATTGTATTATGATTTTTTTAGGGAGGAAAATGGTAGAGATGAACATAGGTTGCGTGGAGGTGGTGAATGTAGGATGCACTCACAACAAAATATTTGGGTAAATTTTGTATGGCATTGTTAATTAACTCATTTTCATTTTTCTCGTGCTTCTGCTTTTGTTTGCTTTTCTACTCAAGAGCTTTTGTCAAACTTTCATATACATCCCACATCGTCTACAAAATTCGGAAAAACAAATATAACTTGATATTGTATTACATTTTTTTAGGGTGACGAAAACAATGAAGACGATGAAGATATTTGGGTAAATTTTATATGGCATTAATAATAACTTTAATTTTATCTTCAATTCATTAGCTTATCTTATGTATTGCTTTCATGGTAGTTGCATGACGCAAATGAAACTGGACATGGTGGATCCTTGGACAATGCCAAATGCAAATTGTTGAATTGGGATGGAATAAAGGTGGTGGTTGCGGAAGGCACAATTGCATCAACAGATTCTAAAGCATTGGTACATCACATGCCTCTTGGCCCTGGGTGTTGGAAAGTATGGGTTAACCATGTCATAGTCAATGCGCCATTGTTTCGCCCTAATCGTGAGATGTTTGTGCTTGAAGATGCTATTGGAAGCACTGTTGCTTGGCCAACCCATTTCATTAGCTTTGATTTTGAGTAGAACTAACATCCATGGATAGTTTTTGAGGACTTTGATGAATAGATTTCTATAATTTTTGAATAGTTTTGGGTAATGTTTACAAACTTATATATGTACAGTTTTGGATGGTTTATAACTTTTTGGATAATTTAGAACTTAAGGATAGTCCTTTTGGATGTTTTTGAACTTGCAGTTAGGTTTTGGATGTTTGGAATGAATATATTGATAATTTTTTAATGTTTATAATTTATATATATAGTTTATTTTTTATGGTTGAAATAATATTGTCGTGGTTGATTAATATTTTGTGAAGCTTGTTTGTAATATTAGATTGTACAAAACAGGTCGTTAAATAGTTTTTAACGGCGTGCGAAGCATGTCATTGAAAGTGAACAACTTTCCATGACTGGTCATAATATGACGTGCGCTTGCATATCGTATAAGGGTTTTTACGGCGTGCGTTGCGCGCCGTGAAAACCTTTTTTTGTTGTAATGATTACACACTTGTGTTAATTAGCTATAACTAACTAATAAAGCAATAAAGTGGCCTCACGGGCGAGGAATGCATGCATGCTTGGTTATGTCTTCCCGAAAATCCATCGCCATGATCTCTGTTGCCTCTGTTTGCACTCACCTTGATCTCTGAACGTTGAACCAACTTCTAGACTGCTTCTGCCCTAACTCAGATACACTTTTGCACAAGTATGGACTAGTGGCCAGTCGGCCACAAAAAGTGGCTGGGGGGCGCCCCC